CACAGCTCCTGAATCTCAGAGGGAAGGCTGGAGTGGGTGGGTGGGACTAGCTCAGCCGGGGGCAAACTACGGCGCGCGGGCTGGATCCGGCCCGTTTGAAATGAATAAAACTAAAAATAAAAAAGACCGTATCCTTTTATGTAATGATGTTTACTTTGAATTTATATTAGTTCACACAAACACTCCATCCATGCTTTTGTTCCGGCCCTCCGGTCCAGTTTAAGAACCCATTGTGGCCCTCGAGTCAAAAAGTTTGCCCACTCCTGTTTTAATATGATTATTGGCCATCTGTATGTCCTCTTTAAAGAAGTGTCTATTCAGGTCCTTTGCCTGTTTTTAATTAGATTGTGTTTTTTATTTTGGGGGGTTTTTTTGGTGTTGAGTTTTATAACTTCTTTATAACTTTCGAATGTATGGGTGAATAAGTTCTTTCATTCAGTGGGTTGACTTTTCATTTTGTGAATGGTTTCATGTGCTGTGCAAAAACTATTTAGTTTGATGTAGTCCCATATGTTTATTTTTTTCTTTTGGTTCTTTTGCTTGAGGCAATATATCAGAAAAATATTACCACGAGAAATGTACGATATTTTACTGTCTGTTTTCTCCTAGTATTTTTATGGTTTCAAGTCTAACATTTAAGCCTTTAATTTTCTTTCTTTTTAAAGTCTTTATCTGCTTTTGGAATTAGGATAATGCTGGCCATATAAAATGAGCTTGGGATTCTTTCCTCCTCTGGAATTTTTTGGAATAGTGTGAGAAAGATACGTGTTAGTTCTTTGAATATTTGGAAAAATTCACCTGTTAATCCATCTTGCCCAGGACTTTTCTTTGTTGGGAGATTTTTAGTTATTGCTTCAACTTCACTAGTTGTAATCTGTTCAGATTCTCTGATTCTTCCTGATTAAGTTGTGGTAGATTGTATGTTTCTAGAATTTATCCATTCTGTCCAGATTGTTCAGTTTGTTGGCACATAATTGTTCATAATATATTCTTATAATTCTTTGTATTTCTGTGGTGTTAATTGTTATTTATCCTCTTTCAGTTCTGATTTTATTTATTTGGGTCCTCTTCTTTTTTCTTGATGAGTCTGAATAAGGGTTTGCCAATCTTGTTTATCTTTCCAAAGAACCAGCCAGCTCTTTGTTTCAAGGATCTTTTGTATTGCTTTTTTACACTGCATATCATTTATTTCTACTCTGCTATTTATTATTTTCTTCTTCCTACTCTCTTTGGGCTTTGTTTTCGTTCTTTTTCAAGTTCCTTCAAGTGTAAAGGTAGATTGTTTATTTGAGATTTTTCTTGTTTCTTGAGGTAAGCCTGTAATACTATGAATTTCCCTCATAGGACTGCTTTCACTTTGTCTCATAGGTTTTGAGTTGTGTTCTCATTTTACTTTGTTTCAAGGTATGTTTTGATTTATTTCTTGATCTCATTTTTATCCCATTCATTGTTTAGTAACATGTTATTTAGCCTTTATATGTGTGTGCGCTTTTTCAGTGTTTTTCTTGTGATTGATTTATAGTTCCATACCATTAAGGTCAGAGAAGATGCTTGATATGATTTCAATCTTCTTAAATTTATTGAGATT